ATAGACGACTTTCCGTATCGCCTTTTTTAAAAACATTGATTATTCAGCTGTACACCAAAACGTAATGAACATGGTAATTGGCGAAGACTGCAGCAAAACTACATAAAGGTGTTCGGTTCTTCGCAACAGACCTCGTACTTGGCTCATTGAACCTCACCACATATGAATAATAGAAAAACAACACGATAGCGAGATCGATACGCAAGTATAGTACTATGAGAGAGAAATCGTCAACTTTGTCCTTCAGGTTATTATTACAGCATTTATTCACAATAGGTGACGTCTCCGCAGTTCCACCTTTTTCAGAGCAGAGCCTCGAATGGTCTATGCACTCAGCCAAACACTTTCATAACCTCAGCAGATAAAGCTTTAAAAAAAGCTCTCGGCGTTGATCAATCCCTGAGGGATGCGCCATGCATTCAACTTCATTAAGTATCGTTGGAGGTGACTGAATGCACATCTGGCCTTTACAGTGACTCACAGTGGTCTGCCGATGTATCGAGCCAGTATTGCTATCCTCACAGACAAGTGTGGTACCAATTTGCCGACCCTGGAGGGATGGAGGGCTGGGTGGGCCATGGGCGCCAGGATCGATTCCGCGCGTGTGTTGTAGCGGCGCCTCCAACCACTGTGGCACACGCGTCCAAGGTAAAGCTTAACACGTAAATTTCCATCCACAAAGTAAACTGCTTCTTTTAAGCACTCATCATTTCCAGCGATACTGAGATAATTGTAAAACTCCGGACCGCATGTGTCTAGGGTGGGAAGCGAGCGCGCTATCACCCTTTCCGGGTGATCACGCGTTCACCACCACACCATGCAGGTCCTTCGTTTCGCCTGTCTCTCAGCTAGTTCTATCGATCAGTGCCATCAGCAATCTCCCGTCAGCGGGACTGATCTGAGAAGCCGAAATCGGCAATGAACCCAGCTAAGCTGAGGCGACAGAATCACAATCTTAACCGTTTTATTTACTGCCTACTATTTTTAATGACGGGGTATCATGTAAAATATAACTTCAACGATGATGAGATATTTGCAAAACTCCGGGCCGCAGGTGTCTGCGGTAGGAACGAACACGCTATTGTCCTTTTCGGAGAGTAATGCGTTCACCACCACACCATGCAGATCCTTCGTTTCGCCTGCCTCTCAGCTAGCGGTTCGGAGTTTTGCAAATATCTCAGCATCGTTAAAGTTATATTTCGCATTATACCCTGCCATTAAGAATAGTAGGCAGTAAGTAAAACGGTTAATACTCATCGTTTTGTCTTCTTTAAGCCTTTTAGTTCCCCAGCTGCACAGAGCCTTCTATGGGTCAGCTAACTCATGTCACAGAAATCGGCCTGAGATACTACCCCAGGATAGGCGTCATCACAAGACAGCTCTCCCTGCTGTTCACTACTGGATTTTCACAATTTACTCGAAATTCTTGAAGAGTTTTGCATGCTGTTGCTTTAGATTCCTTTGCGAAGACGGTAGCTTTTATTTTAAAATCTTCTCCATTATGTATTCCTTCTTTGACAAGCTTACACGAGATTGATAAACAATTCTTATTCGGCTAACGTTTCGACGTCTTCGTCTTCATCTGAGCCGACGACCCTCGATAGCCCACGGTTCTTCTGCGTTTTGCCTTCGCCTGGTATGCTTGCTTGTAGAGTGTCCTTTTCTACTTGTTTCCCAACTAGGTGCTTTTTTACACAGGTGTAGAGTAGGCTACCCGTTTCGCCAACGTATTCGTCCACACACGCTTTACAAGAGGTTAGATAAACAGTACCCGAACGCATACAATCACCGTCTTTACCGTTACGGCATATTATACATTTTTGTTGCGCATAGACGCTCAAAGGCGGTCCTAACTAACTGGGTCGTAGACTGTCCAGTAGTATTTCAATCACTGTTGCCGAATTCTCTAGACCGGCCCTTTTTAAGAAACATTTTACAGCTGCACTTATTTCGTTGGTAAATAAAGGGCAGGAAAAACGGGAACTTACTAACGCTAGAATTATCGTTTGGGAGCTTGTGTTTTCCTCTACACCTATCCCAAGGAGTTAGTTTGGTATCTGTTGGAAATAATTATTAGTCGTATCAATTTCAGGGTGTTTTCCTTCTTTCTGTGCATATACTGGCTGCTGTTTGAAACACCTTTTTCACAAGAGCTTTTTTTTTGTTTGTGAAAGCTGAGAGTAGAGGTAATGAACCAGTATGTTGCTGCCACCTGGTTACATTACGCTAACATTTGACGATGTGACCGTTTTCGGATCGGTTAACGTGCATGTTCAAAAATGGAGGCCATATTTAAAACATTTCCACTTCTTCTCTTGTGTGGAGCAGATGGGAAAATAGTCGTCCATATAGCAACAGAAGAGGCCGGAAAGTGAGTACAAGGGCTTCAATTTTTGACATGAACGCAATGGCAAGGCTTGGTGCCAGTCACTGACCTACTGCCAACCTTCTCAAACTAGCGAAATACAATCACAACGTTGCTGAGATATTTGCAAAACTCTGGATCGCAGGTCTCTATAGTGGGGAACGAACGCGCTATTGTCCTTTCCGGGGAGTAACGCGTTCACCACCACACCGTGCGAGTCCTTCGTTTCGCCTGTCTCTCAGCTATTTCTATCGATCTTTGCCACAGCAGCAGCAGCATATATAGTAGGCAGAAAATAAAAAGGCATAACATTGTGATTTCAACTACAACCGCAGCTTAACTGGGTTGTATGCCGATTTGGACGCTCCAGATCAATCCCGCTGACGGGTGATTGCTGTGGCAAAGATCGATAGAAATAGCTGAGAGACAGGCGAAACGAAGGACCAGCATGGTGTGGTGGTGAACGCGTTACTCCCCGTAAAGGACAATAGCGCGTTCGTTCCCCACCATAGACACCTGCGGTCCAGAGTTTTGCAAATATCTCAGCAACGTTGTGGTTGTATTTCGCTTAGTACCCTGCCGCGAAATTATAGTACGCAGAAAATAAAAAGGCATANNCCCCCACCATAGACACCTGCGGTCCAGAGTTTTGCAAATATCTCAGCAACGTTGTGGTTGTATTTCGCTTAGTACCCTGCCGCGAAATTATAGTACGCAGAAAATAAAAAGGCATAACTAGCGAAATACTTCCTAGACTACTTCAAGATTGAGCAGTGTAAGCATTTGCTCTTTCGTATTGCACAAGAAGTTTGCGGATGGCTTGCACTGCGGAGTCATTCGACATGTTCAATCGTCTTCATCACGTTTACATCAAAAATGCATCGCCAACTCAATGTGTTTTTTCAATACAACAAAAATGAAAGAAATATCCATTGCGAACTGAAAAATGGGTCGCTAGAGAATTTGAACGCCCACAACCCCTCCCCCCCCCCCCCCCAAAATAAAAAAACTTTACAACAGCCTTCCATATCATTCTACTTGTTTCCGTTGCTTTGAATTTTAATCCTGAACCGTAAAAGGTGCCACACATTCCACATTTGGCGCGTGGCGTTCAACAGCCTGCCGTTTAGGATCGCATCCAGTTTCCATCCTCTACGCACATGCTCGTTCCTTGACAATAAAAAATTGCTTTTAGATAACTAGACGACTCAAGGAGTTGCAACACGATAGAATTATAGAAGAGACTTTGCTCTTCTTTCCATAGGTATGAAAGACATATTTACTTCCTACACGTTACTATGCCCCACCATAGAAACTCACTGCTATCAGCACATGGAATCGCCTTCCAGAATGGCTTTGCAGCTTATGTTGAGTCAGTTTCGGAATATTTCTATACTCGGACATTCGATACAATAACCACACGATTCAACAGAGCGATTAAAATGAGATAGCAGTTAATTGCTATCCAAATTACTCGTCAATAATCTTGTCCGAAAGCGGTTTTTTGTAAACCATTAAGTGTATCGAATAACTTTTCCGGCCCGATTCCTTCCACACTTATCTGCTTTCGATTAGGTATCCAATGAATATGAATAGTATGGGAAAAAACATTCAGTAACGCACTGAAGTGAAAATGGACACTATTCGTCCAAACTGTGAACTCGGGTAGCCAAGGTTGGACGTATAGGACAAAAATCTAGCGAATGTATTAACAGGACTCTTCAAAAAAATAATGTACGCAACTGAATCGCAGGGAATACAGCTGAAACCACTCGTTTAGAGTTTCTCAGAAAGATCGACTATTTCTAACCGCATTTCCACCCAATTTCACTATGTATTTACAGCCCATCATTTAGTGGTAGCATAATCTCAAGAAGGCGCGGGTGGCGCGGTCTTCGGAGGCGGCCTGCAACACACGCAGGATCGATCCCCGCGCCCGTGGCTCACCAACTCCTCCATCCTCCGGGGTCAGTAAATTAGTGCCAGACTTATCTAGGAGGATAGGAGCACTGGGTCGATACATCGGCAGGTCACCGCAAGCCATTGTAAAGGCCAGATATGCATTCCATCACCTCCAAACGATGCTTATTAAAGTCGAATGCATGGCGCATATCTCAGAGATTGATCAACGCCGAGAGCTCTATCTTTTATGCTTTTACAACCTCAAGCAACTCAAGTTCCTTAATGGTCAACACTGATTTCAGCCGTAAGGAAAAATCGATAACAATATCTGCAAAGAAACTTGTGCCTTAGATTTAATACAAGACTACATGCATATAATGACAAACAGATTAAAACAACTTCAATAAAAGAGTTTGAAACCATCTATAGGGATCACGATATTCCACCACTTCGTCCAGAAGTGGCTATAAGATACTCCGTTTCTTCGTCTTAACATTTTAAAGTAATCAGAAAAGCGCAATACCCTAAGAATTGAGCAATCACATTACCGATTTAACACGTCTGCGACATTTTCTAGTGTTCGATATTTACACCATAAGAGAACGCCTAATTTTTCGCCAACAACAGACTGTACTGAACTCAATGTGCTTTGTCGTGAATGTACTAAAGTAGCTTTGAAGAATATGACTAGTTCTAACAAAGGCTACACTACACCTAAGACAGCTGTGGTCTGCTATCGAAAGAACTTCGATATCCAATATATTGCGAAACCAGTAGTCGCCAATATCAAAACACCAACGGTTTGCCTTCGGGTTTCTTCTTGTTGTTTCCTACGCTTTTCTCGAAGCATCTGCTCAAACGTGGGAATTGGATATTTCGACTGTTGTCTCTCCTAAAAAGTGGGTCACTTAAAGTGGAAGACCAAACTCGGCAGTAACGAAAATGAATGAGTGTATTAACAGAACTCAAACTTATTACAACATTAATTATTGTTCAAGGTAGATCTGAGGTGTTGCATTGTCCTGAAGACACATCAAAGGTTCTTCCGTCCTCCTTGCGGTCCATTTCTGGATTTTTGGAATTAGTCCAAAACGCTTCAAGAGTTCTACGCATTGATGTTTTGGATACCTTTGCGAGGAGAGTTACTTATACTTCAAAAGCTTCTTTATGCTTCTGTGCACTATGTGCGCCTAGGTGAGTTTTTGTTTTCAGTTTAAGTTTACCGAGTAAATGTTCTCTTATACGGACACGGAGTGCTCTACCCGTTTCGCCAACGTATTCGTCCGCATGCTGTACAAGGGATCAGATAAACTGTATTCGATCTCATGAAATCACCGTCTCTTCCTACAAAGCATATTATGCAATTGTGTTCATCCAATGACTCAAAACATTTGTCATTTCCTCTTGTGTTAAGCAAATGATAAACCAATGACCTATATATTTACAGTACAGTAATAAGATCGGTTACTGGTGCTTCCACCTTCAACATCTCTCCTAGACATGTTTCAATATTTACCATAAAAAGACTTAATTATGGAGGCTAAAGAGTATGTGAAGAATGAAGATTGTAAAAGTAGGGAATTCATTATAATGACTGTAACTGAATGCAAATTAATTATGTGAAAGTGTACATTAACCCTTAATGGAAGCGCCGTTTTAGCGTGGCTCTTCGAATGGAATATGAGCATGTGGAAAAAACTGTGCACTATCAAGTGATTTTCTTCGTATTTTTGTTGACGTAGAGATCAGAAATCATTTCTGTGCGGTTGGTCTCTACGTGACATACTTAGTGGAAACCTCATAGAAAGCGGCTCTGAAGAAGGCGAAATCAGCCGAAACGTCAGCTTAATCGTGAACAAAGAATAGTAACACCTCGCGTTTGCTCAACAAAAATACGAAGAAAATCACTTGATCAATGCCGAGGTTAATAGAAAGTCGGTCGTGGCAGTTACTGCAAGATGTGCACTATCATTCTATGGTTATGAATGAAATTTATACCACTATCTACTGCCTGTCACTATGGTCCATCATACAAATTGATTGCTATTGTCAGTTCACTTAAGACTAATTTTTTAAAAGCCGCACATTGCATAGTTTGACCACAGTGATTAGAATAAAATAAAGTTAGTTAATAATCAAATTACAGGTAAAGAAGCGCTGAGAAATAGAGAAGGTGAGCGCGGAGTTTTGGGCTCCTCAGTTGGTCGGTGGCTTCTTTGAGAAGCCCGAGTGCGGCCCTTGCTGCTCTCCTTCCTCTGTCAAATTCCACCTTCATGTTGTTCGCAACGTTCATTCAGCGTACGAGATACCACGTAAAAGGTGGTTTCTGTAATTAGAGAACCACCCAGTTCAATTTATTCACCTTCGGGGTTCTTCATGAACTGAGTCTTCAACCAATTTATGCGCAGTGCTTTTTGCCGCTTCGTCATGACTATTGACCATCGCATCTGCTTCAGTGGTAGTTCTCCATAAGACAACGACTTCATTTGCGAAAGGAAGATATGATAGGAATTTCCCATCAATACATATTTCTTTCTCGCCCTAGTCGACTTACTTCGTTATACACTGCAGTGCGACAGTAAACAGCTTCCGTGACGTATCGCTTTATCGAACCCCTTTTCCTATGGGTATGATAGGAGGTCGATGAAAAAGCAGTGTTTTTGTGCCACAGTTCTGATAACAGTCAGCTAGTGTTCATATATGGGATGGGTCAGTTTCCTGTTCAATGAGCGCTGACTGGGTTGCATTCGCTTCGACGATGTTAAACACTTCCCCCTAGTGGTTTTGGAGATGCGGTTTGAAATTCGTGTCTAGGGAACTAAGGCAAATCCGGCACAAGTTTTAAGCCGTTCGACATGCAGCTTGTAGTCTTTGGTCGGGTCCTCCTCTATCTGCCAGTTATATGAGAGGATTTTATTGGGAATATCCTCGTCGTACACGACTTGTTTCGTTTTTCATGGACGATGACAGCAGTTCTTTAACGGTTTATGGCTGCATAGAATCCTCGCACGGAGATGGTCAGATAGACTACAGAATCCACGTACTATTGGGATATCAAAGAAGCACCACTTTTTGTTCGCGAAAATATGCTAGATTTCCGCATGAGGCGTGACATTAAGATATCCCAATGTCTACATGCAACTTTTTCCTTCCTAGAATGATGAAATCCCATGTAGGAGACATGCTGTCCACAGGAGCTCTGCTAAACGGTTCCCAGTTTCATTTCGATCTCTTGGTCCGAATTTCTCTATTTTGTGCCTGACAAAGCCTCCGACATTTTGTAAAGGAATTTCCCACACACGACGACAAGAGTTCCGTCATCTAATTGGCGTATGTCGGTCATCCTGCATTTCGTCTCTTGTAGGACGATCACATAGAATTTGATATGATCAGAGGCCTCAAGAAGAGCGTAAAGGTTGGCGTTTGAAGACACTATTCTGATATTATAGCTGCCGAGTAAAAAGTAATTTTAATGGCATTTTAGGGGCGTGCTTGTTATGTCCGATTCCAATGATGTCCTACGCAACCCAAGATTTGATCGTCCTCACCGGCTCACTAGCCGCCCAATGTCGTAGACAAACGCCCCGTGTGCGGGTTACTGAGGCTGGAGTTTTGCTGTTTGAGCCACCATGGTTCCCTTCAGTGTCGAGGTCAGCATAGCCGAAGTCTTCCTCAGCTCGTCACTATCCAGGCAGACACCCCCCTTGTGGATCAGAGGGAGATTTGCCACCATGCGACCAGTTTGGTACCACAACGGTGATGATTCCCACTGCTCGTTTATCCTTAGCCGTGCTTCTGGATGGAAATGTTGAACTCTTTTCCAACTTGCAAAACCCTGCGTAAGGGATGAACATCCTACTGTACATCGCAGTCCGACACAGAGCAACAACGCTCAACGACGATGGGTCGGTAAACCTTTGGGACGAGTGAACTATTAAGGGTAGAGCATCTTTTTCACACCTATTATTTTGATTAGCTGTCTAATGAATATACATAGCTCGGTAAGGAAAGGAAAATTCCGGAATGCACTAAAGAGAGTGAACACAAAGTGTCCATATCGGACTTAATGGGTTAAGGAGGTTGCAGGTCGTGATGTTTATAGTGACTAAAAATGGGTCATTTGTAAGAATTACAGGTTGTAAAGCAAGGGTCTTAAAGTCCTTTCCCTTCAATTCTTTCAACATGACTAGAAGTTTGGCAGAGAAACGGGAATGTCAGTGGAAATGTTAATTGAGATCTCGTAGTGTTCGAATATCTTTGCAAAGACATACTTTGTGGACACACGATAATGAATGCGCAACCTGCATATGCCTAGCCCTTCCGCATGATGAAAACGTTTTTAGAAGTTTCCTCAGTGATCTGGCATCCTATAGCGGCAACAAAGGATATTGACTTGCGAATTCGTATGTGAAGGTAAGGCAGACATATTTTTACCCACTAAAGGATTTAAATAAGGCAAACGAACTCTTCCACAAGAAGTGTTCTAGAAACCACCAAGGGTAGGAAAGAGTTCTTCTCGTCCGAAGCCCTCCACTATATATGCGTTCGATAATATGTTGATCAACTATAAAAAGTGTATCAAAGGAGTCCACAGTGCAAAAAAAAGGCCTAAAATAAAATGAGTCACATATAAGTCATGCCAGTCAGGTTGTCCGAATGTAAAGGTCATGTTTGACTCTTGTCAAAGCGCCAAATAAAAGGAATGAGTAAATATAGATTTGAATAAACCAGATAAAATAGTTGAAAAGTAGTACGTACCATTACAGCAATAAGACAAAGTTCGTTCTAAAGACTTGAAGAACTTGCTTATTGAAAAACTTGTCATTAGTCTACGGAAGATCAGTATATTCCAGAATTATTAATCAGAAAACAAGACGAATTAAGAGTAAGAAACAGAACACACCTGCTCCCGCTGTATTTCCCTCAAAAGTTCCTCTTCCTCCCGTTGCACTACTCTGCTATCCCTGTGTATTGACCCCTAAATCAACCAATATCCACTACATTAACACATAAACACTTCTAGTCAAATACGTAACCATCGAGGCGTTTTTTTTTGGAGTTCAAAATCACCATAGTCTGGGGATTTACCAAACACTGTGATACTACGTATTTAAAGTTGAAGAAATAATGAATTTCAAACATTACGAAGACGTCAACATACCTTGGGTGGGTCGTATTCGCTTTTATACACGGGTCTTTTACCGCCAAACTCGGCATAAAACTCTTCAGGCATATCGAAATGGGAATGATATTGTTTCCTTCGCCTATGAATGGAATATGAATGCATACGTCTACACGTATATATATTGTATATACGTGCACATATACACGTATGTATGTATACTACTAACTACGACGCTCACCTAGTTAAACGTTGAAAGTGCTCAAAACTCTTGTAATCAATATCAAGATCGGTATAAGCTTTCGTTGGACCGGAAGTTGAAGATGGATGTGTAAACGAACTACTTAAATGAAGAAATTAATAAAATTGCTAGAATTTTTTGAATAGAAAGAAAATCACATGGTTCTGAGATCAGCAACAATACTCAAAAGTGATCACACAGGACAAAACTAAAGAGTCCACAAAGCAACACATACAGCGAACCTTCGCACTACAGAATAAATATATCAAACATGATAGGCAAGAAAAACGACTTTAAATTATACTATGAATTGAGGAATTCTACTATTAAAAACAAAAATGCAATGAAAATTATGGACTCTCTGGTCATATTAGATGTTTCACGTTGACAAGCTTCTCCAAAGTAGGAAAAAAAAGAAGGAACAACTGAAAAGTCTTTGCTAAATTTAGTAAGGGAATAACTACTAGGTCTTAATGAGAAATGAGTGGATAGATAATGAAATTACTTCAAATCTGATGACGTTCGTATCCTCGTCATGTCGTAGATCTTTCGTTTCTCATCCGAACCCAGAACTTCATAAGCAAGAGCGACCTGTTTGAAGTTAACAGTATAAGTCGCAGGGAATAGTGCTAAGTGCCATACAGTAGCTCTTGAAATTAATGTGAAATCAAAAGAGCTGTCAACAAGTAATCAGTACCTGGTGAAACTTTGCAGCTGCTTCATCCTTATTGTCACGATTTCGATCCGGATGATACTGCTTCGAGAGTTTAAAATAGGCTGCCTTGATTTCCTGAGCATACAAACAAATGAAGAAACTAAAAGTGGACAACTTACGAAGACACACAGCTCTCTCATTTATCACATGTAGTCAACAATTGTTTATTAGAAGATACTTAATTGGATACTTGCATGGCCCGTCCTCACTGGTTGTGCAGGCACTAGCATAATCTTCATTTTCAGTTTTGCTAGCTTCGCTATTGTGATTCCTGGAGTTCTGACGTCAACTTAGCAAAGTCTGCCCCACGATGTCACCACCACAGGAAGTCGCAGACCTTGTGGATCAGAGGGAGATTTGCCACCATGTGACTTTGATACCAGGATGGTGGTGGATCCTGGTATTGACTTACTCTTAGCTAGGCTTCATGATGGAAAAGCCGGACTCCTTCTCAATTTGGGAGACCTTGTAAGGCGGATGAATCCTCCCGCTATACACGGTAGCCCGACACCCAGGAACACCTCTCAGCTACGACGAGACCGTAGACCGTTGGGAGGGTTTACTAGTAGAACATGCTCAAACTAAAATGTCGCTACGTTGCTGAGATATTTGCAAAACTCTGGACCGCAGGTGTCTATGGTGGGGAACGAACGCGCTATTGTCCTTTCCGGGGAGTAACGCGTTCACCACCACACCATGCGGGTCCTTTGTTTCGCACGTCTCTCAGCTATTTCTATCGATCTTTTTGCCACAGCAATCACCCGTCAGCGGGGTTGATCTGGGGAGCGCAAATCGGCATAGAACCCAGTTAAGCTATGGCTGTAGTTGAAATCACAATGCTTAACGTTTTGTTTTCTGCCTTCTATAATTTTCATGGCAGGTTACTAAGTAAGCGAAATACAACCACAACGTTGCTGAGATATTTGCAAAACTCTGGACCGCAGGTGTCTATGGTGGGGAACGAACGCGCTATTGTCCTTTCCGGGGAGTAACGCGTTCACCACCACACCACGCGGGTCCTTCGTTTCGCCCGTCTCCCAGACAGTTTTCTATATACCATTGCCAACCGTCGATGGGATTGCAAACTCAAACTCAAATCAAATCATTGGAAACTCAAGCCGGCAACTGAACCTAGTTAAGCTGAGGTTGAAGGACCCGCATGGTGATGGTGGACGCGTTAGCCCCTAGAAAGGGTAATACCGCGTTCATTCCCCACCGCAAACACCTGCTGTCCGGAGTCTTGCAAACATCTCAGCATCATCATGAAATGCTACTATTCAGTGGATCTACACCAGTACGCTGTATCACAGAAGCTTTCCCACTAAATATTTCCTAACATTTTAAATGACCTCTCAACGGTTTACCGCCTCATCGTGCCAGGGAGGTGTTCCTGGATGTCAGGCTGCGATGTACAGCGGGAAATTCATCACCTCGCAGGGTCTCTTAAGCTGAGAGCGAGTCCGGTGTTTCCATCAGGAAGCCCAGCTAAGAGTAAGCCAATACTAGGATCCACCATCTTTTTCGCCTCAAACTAGTGGGATGGTGGAAATCTCTCTCTGATCCACAAGGCCGGCGACTGCCCGGGTGGCGACCTGGGCAGGCTTTGGCCAGACTGACCTCGGGATTCCAACGAACCACAATGGTTTAACCAGCAAAACTCCGAAAAATGTAGACTGTGTTGGGGCAGGCACAACCACTAAGGACTGGTCGTCCAAGTAACCAAGTAACATTTTAAATACATTTCTCTAGACTCCGTGCTGTTTTCTCGGACAAAAAAGACCCATAAATGCTCACAATATTTGCACCATAGTCACCCACTATATGATTTAATTACCTCAATAGTGACAATATCCCCAGCTTCTCTTGAACAATCAGACAACCTTTCCCAATCCCAGATCTTATGCAGTCATAAAGGCAGAAGATTCACTTAAATGGTGACATTAATAACTCCTTCAGACTTATAGCGCGTCCTTTCAGTGGGCAGTGTTCTTACTTATTTAGATACTTGGCAGGCCCGTCCTCATTGGTTGTGCGGACCCCAGCACAATCTCCATTTTTCGAAATATTTCTGGTTTAGCCACTGTAGTTCCCTGGAGTCCCGAGGTCAACCTGGCCAAAGTCTGCTCTGCTCCAGATCGTCACCACCACTACCAGTGGCAACCCTTGTGGGTCAGAGATTTGCCACCATGCGACTAGTCTGACATCAGGACGGTGGTCGATCCCAGTACTGGTCTACTCTTAGAAAGAATTCCTGATGGAAACGCCAGACTCCTTCGCTTGGAAGACACTGCTGGGGGATGAATCCCAACTGTATGTCGCAGCCCGACACCTAGGAACATCTCAGAGCCACGATGAGGCAGTAAACCGTTGGAAGAGTGAGCAATGTTCAGAATAATCATGTCTGCAAAATCGTTATTTGTTGACTAAAGAACAGAGAAGTCAATATAACAACCTTCAGAGTAGCTCCGGGCTCGAGCCCAAGCACAGCGTAGTGATCGTCGACTGGCTTGGATACGAACGTACGAAGTGGGAACGAGATGCGCACCAAATATGCTGTAACTCCACGTAACATCCCCAATGATGTGACTATAATCGATTGTTCTTCATGGTAATTCACTCTCTGAAAACAGCTCTGCCTCAAACAACTCATAAATTCACAGAAATCATAACCATGCTCAGAGTGCGAAGTAAAACTTGTTTCCGACATTTGCGACGACGAATAATTCCTCACGATGAAGTTAATATGCGCTGGCTATGAACTCCTCAAGCATATGCATTGTATTCAATGCGCACTGCTGCGGACCTGTGGACACACCTAATGCGTGGCGGCCCTTTGAGACTACGCCTAATGTTTTGCCACGCGCGGTGTAAATTCATCGGAAAAAATAGCTTTTTTTGTAAATTCGTCAGGCACACAACCTATCTTCACGTAGCTATCAATTATATAAGGAAAGGATGACATATAAATTCAATGTGGGAAAATAAAGGTAGAGAAGAAAAATATGCATTAAAGTCAATGCAACACGCCGACTGGCGTGAGTGTTGATTATTAGTGCATACAGTCACTTATGTGTTAAATGAGCGCCTCTAAGGTTATACGATATTATGATTACGTCTCACTGTTTTTCGAAAACCCAGAAAGTTATTAATCAGATTGCGGGACTGTTCGTTAAGACTTCTGATCGAAATCCGGGCAAAATTGCAGTTACGAGAAGCTAAAGCGTTTCTCATACACTTCTTATGAAATCATGCTTTAACAAACCACATCTCTCCAAGCAAAACTGGATTAGTAACGATTGTCAATGCAGAGTCGGAAGCGAAGGGAAACGGTCCTGAATTGGAAGTAAGCTCGTTCAGGAAGCTGCTCCCAACGGGCAGCCTAGACGGTTACTTGCGGAAGTCCGCAATTGCAGAACACCTCAATTTGTTTTACCCTTCAGTGGTTTCGTCCTTGCATACATAGGCTCGACTGCAATATTCTCATGAATGTCCGTAGCCGTTTTCTCTTTCAATTTTCCTTTTCGATGGATCACAGAACTCTCTTCATTGCAAATGTAAAAACAGGGTGTAGCGCAGTGGTTAGAAGTGACCTGCGTGGTACGTGGTCGCTGTTTCAATCCCTTGCTCTGCTGACCAGGACCCATATGCTTCCGTCGCCGCAGATTAATATCGAACTTGCCTGAAATGACAAAAACATTGAATTGTTGGATCAGTAGAGTGCAGAAGCTCGTTGCTTAGGCTAAATATAGCTTAAATCGCATTTAAGTTGCTTAGCGACTGCAACGCAGTACATCCAAATTGGATAGATCAACAACGTACGTAATCATTTTATAAGAATGCGAAGTTGAGGCTGATGATTTACTGCTATTCAAACTACTTATTCTGCGTTTCACATTTCTCCAAACCTCCCGAAAGTTAGTACAGGAGAAGCATTTTTATAGCATTCCTTACTTGGATAATTGGATAACCCTTCATCACTGGTTGTGCGGACCCCACCACAATTTCCATTTTTTCGGAGTTTTATTCGTTTAGCCGTTGTGGTTCGTTGGACTCCCGAGATCAGCCTAGCCAGTCTCCTTCAGGTAGCCACCACCCACTGTCGCAGCCCATGTGAATCAAAAGGAAATTTACCACCGTGCGACCAGTTTGATACTAGGACTATGGTGGATCCTGGTATTGGTTCACTCTTAGCTATGCTTCCTAATGGAAACGTCGGACTCCTTCTCAGCTTGGGAGACCTTACTGGGGAGTTTGTATAACATTGTTCTGAGCAAAGTTCTTACCTTTTCACTTGTTCGCCATGCATCATTGTGTGCGTTAAATTGTTGTCGTTTCTCTGAAAAGCCACATTTTCACTACAGACTTCTTCATAGTTTAGACTATGGTGCTCAAATCTGTAGGGTTTTTGGGTCGAAGACTATTCAACCGTGTTCCAAAGGTAGGTCAAGTTTGTTCAGATGTTTCAATCTTCTACAATTTTGCTTCTTTTACGTTAAGGTGGTTGCTACAAGTAGTGTTAACCAGCAAAAACGTAACAACTACAAGTACGTGGGAATGGCTGCGGAAACCGATGGGACGTTCGCTGGTGATTTGAACTACGGACTTCATACCCTCTTCTTTACCGAACTGTTCAGAGGTGTCGTTTCCTTTTAATGTTTTAGACTTCTGCAGCACTGTGTTTTTTGAAGTTCCTTTTGGCATTATGTTCTTCGTCTGTACCTGCTATATGGTCCTTTTAGGCTTTGGTGTCATGTTGGGACACGTTTTCATGGAACCGGCTACGATTAACTACCCATTTGAGAAGGGTCCCCTCAGTTCTCGCTTCAGGTAGGTCTTATACATCCGCGTACTTTGCTTTTTCATGTTTTTCCAGTGTTTGAAAGCCTTTGTTGGAGTGTGTGTGCTTTTTTTTAAATCTCGGTTGGATATGGCTTTGTTTCGTAACCTTCCCTTATGATTTCTTGAATTTCTTTACTTTAGAGGTGAACATGCTCTGCGGCGCTATCCGTCCGGTGAAGAGCGATGTATAGCCTGTAAACTGTGCGAGGCGATCTGCCCTGCGCAGGTTGATATTTGCTAATATTCGATAGTAGGGGAATTATCAAGTCTATTTCTAGAAACTTTCGTCCTCCATAAGTCCACCTTTTTTAAGGCTATTACAATCGAGGCGGAAACACGTCCCGACGGGAGCAGGCGTACTACGCGGTACGACATCGACATGACGAAGTATGCATATTATTTTTGTAACTTGCTTGATTTCGAATATTTTGAAACCCCTTATGTTTCATGGATTTTAACACTTTAAAGATGTATTTACTGCGGTCTTTGTCAAGAAGCATGTCCAGTCGACGCTATCGTCGAAGGACCAAATTTCGAATACTCTACTGAAACACATGAGGAACTGCTGTATAACAAGGTACAATCTTATCCTTGCCCTGTTATAAGTGTGATAAATAAATATGAAGGAGGACGGCATATTATCTTAGACCAACTTCTTGAACGTGTACCAGCACCTCATCGTTAAAAAGAAATGGTACTGATCGTGAGGAATCTACTGTTAATGTTATTGTATTCCAAACAAGAACCTGTGATATCGGTTACCAGTGGATATCTTGAATGGGCATCTACATCGTCCCTATGAGGTTTCAGAGACACACGTTAAGTCCCCCGAACTCGAGGGATATGAGGAAACTCACGATTGTAGTATGGAACTTCTTGATTGTGTTTGGATAAAACTACTGCGTGATAATTTGGTTCTACGGTCGGACTGACTGTTGATTTTAGTTAAAATTCCTACATTTTAGGAAAAGTTGCTGTTCAATGGTGATCGATGGGAACCGGAATTAGCGGCAAACTTGCAGGCTGAATATTTATATCGCTGAAATTAGGATTACACAATATGTCTTCGATAGAATTGTCAGCGAAATAGAGATGAATTGGATAATAGTTGTGTAATGTAGTTCTGATAAACCTTCCAATCATAGTGGTTGAATACGAGCGGAAACTTGTTTGAAGTACCTCATTATCTAAGTCCGTCATGTCCTAAACGTTATTTTCTGCCTACTGTGTATGTGAAATGAAAATACAGGAATATGACAACATTACTTCCTGGAGATCTACCCGATCATGTGAGAGAGATGATGGCTCGTACTCGCAAGAATCCCATCTCTTTATTCCTGGAGATGTATGTTCACGTCTTCAAGTGAGCGGGTTTTTTTCTCGGTTACTTTTGGCTAGTCAATCAGTTAAAGCAAAATGTTGTTACAGAATAACGCCCGAGGTGCTTTTCGAGATTGTACCTGGGGAAGACAAGGGGTCGTGAGTGTTTTTCTCACAGTTTCTTGTTTTTAATGTTGCTTCTAAGCCATATATGCCTAGTAGGGATAGAATTAGTCGCTGTACTGCAGGTTGCTCTTCGTCACATCTGTCCAAATTGGCGATACATTGTTGAAAGGCTCGCCTCATCGCACCAAGAAGATTTCGAAATTGGACTGTTTTGTCAAAGGTATCAAGGTAAGTAGTATGCCTTAGGCTGTGTTTTATGAAAACACGTTTGATGGGATTTATTAGTTTAGTTCCATACTTGCAGATTCTATGTGGAAGGTTTTCTATGGAGATTACAAATTCTGCGCAAGATTTGCAATTCAAGCGGGATACCACATTTTTTGAACTTCTCAGAATACACACGTATTCAAAATTTTACAGGTGACTAACTATATCTTTGTATAGATACTAGAGATGGTTTTATCTATGATGCTTAGCTTAATGGCGTTTATTTATACGACCAATCTTCATCTACTGTGTGGATCTCAGCATTTCCCACATTCGATTCGTTTCTTCGCATCCGTCATCCACGAAGGCTTTCCAACTTTTACGTGTGGCTTCGGCTGCTGCTTGAGGATTTTCATTTCGGCTTGAATACCGTAGAATACTGCTCGAGTCGACCCTTCGTAGAGTCCCGAGATAACTGGGCTGGAGCATTCCCAATTGGATTGTAGAGAGTGATTTTTTCCCAGACAATTCCGGCACTAATTTCCTGACCACGGAGGAATGAAGGCCTTGGTGAGACTGTGGAGGGATCGAACTAGCGCCGTGCTCGTGATGATCGGCACAACTACTACTGCACTATCCGCTTCCTAGCTAAATAGTTAGATCAATTAATCGCCCATCAGCAAGCTTTATACCATTTTGTATGCAGCGCAGATATGTAGCCGTTTTCTTTGGTGTGAATGTACTCTTACACAAAGTTTTATTTCAATATGCAATATTCAAGCCAAGTACCTAAAGTTACTGACTTTGTTTCGTTGCAGCCTCAGCTCTCCGTCACCGGAAGTTATTGGGTCTGAAAAAATGATCTCTAGTATTTTCCTAGTAACCAGAAGTGACAGACGCAGTACTGCACAAATAGTGTCTTTAGCCACTGGTAATAAAAGTCTAAGAGGTAATTTTTTTCCACGGTATGATCATTGCGAAGAAGAACAATGGAATACAAATTTAAGCGCATTCTTCTCGTTCTTTGCCATGTGTATGGTCTCAGTGTCATTCTGCATGGCTACTCAGTACTTCTCTTTAAAATTTGCTTCATAATGAAAAAATGTCGTTTTGCAGAGCTACTAAATATTTCCCTTTAAAACAAGTGCAGTGAAAAACTTATCTCTAGGATAAAATTCCAGGCGACATGCTAAGTCTTCATGGATGTAGTGTTAACGACTGTCATGCAGAGATAATCGCTCGTCGGGGTCTTTTACGGTATAAACATTAAGGTTTTTCTTCTATCTGCTCTAGTTTATTGGTGACGAATTTCAGCTTTCTGTATGCACAGGTGTTGTTGTACACAAGGGATGCATCTAAATCGATATTTTTAAAAAACACTAACACAGGTTGGTTAATCTATAATAGGTTTCTTCCGTTATATTTATATATAGAATAAAAGGATAAAGCTCTTGGCGTTGATCAATCCCTGAGGGAAGCGCCATGCATTCGACGTCATTAGCATCGTTGGAGATGATTGGATGAATATCTGGCCTTTACAATGACTCACGGTGGCATATCAACATAGCGAACCAGTGCTGCTATCTTCTCATACAAGGCTTGTACCAAGTTGTCGACTCCGGAGGGATGGAAGATTTGGTGATCCATTGGCGCGGGGATCGATACCACGTGCGTATCGCAGAGTGCCTCCGACCACTGCACCACACGCACCCTCTATATGCATATGTATGTTTATACATATGTATATATATGTATATGCACATATATATACACATCCGTACAATATGTACATATATAATGGGTATACACATGTGTTATATAATATATGTGGCTCATTATTATTATTTAGGGAAATTAGCTCTTCGAAAAGGTCTGTCATTCCACATGTTTATCAGTGCTGCACCTTGTGGAGATGCACGTGCGTATAACTTGAACGGTGGTAGTCACGAAAAAAACGAGGCGGATACCAATAGCCTCCTTCGTTACAAACTCGAGAATGGTATGTTGCAATGATTACTTCGTTGTCGCTAGTCCTAGTTGGCGTAGTATGTTATTACAAATACTCTACTGGTCTAGTTAACATAGTTAATTCGTTTAAATGTGAATTTGACATGTTTTCTGAATGCGTCAGTGTCTTTTGAAATATGCTATTGAAGTGCATTTGTCGTAAATCTATTTATTTAACAATTAATGGACCTACTTAATTTATAGATCAAAGATGCAGTTACAAAGGAATTGTGGGTTGTGTGAAGTACTTCCAAAGTGCTATGTCAGGTATGGGAACGGTACTGGGGCGAATGCCAGAGACACTTGCTCCCCAGACGTTGGATGGTATTGTTGGTGGAGAACGTCTGCGCACGATGTCATGTAGCGATAAGATGATGCGTTGGAATGTTTTAGGAGTTCAAGGAACGCTTCTCTCACTATTTGTCGATCCTGTACGTGTTTCTTGTCTTGTTTGCCAGTTTTGTTCCAACATTTGGAATGAGTTTGAGCTTAGATCTATCTATCTTCTGTGACGATCTCTGAGAAAGTTGATAAGAATCGCCTTGAACGTGCGCTTTATCGTCGACTCGATGGCTTTGTACCGTCTGCGCCTTTCCATGTCAGTAAGCCATATATCGGGCAATGTCAGGTGTGTATGCTGTTGATCCGATTTTTATAGCGCTGTTTGTGTTCTTCTGATGTAATAAGTGTTTTATCATAGTGTGACCCTTCACGCGATACGTCACATGGTTCTCCTATATCTGTTAATTGGAATTTCGCAGACGACAATATTGAAGTACTTTTGAATCATTCTTCCATGTTTCTTTACGTTTCTTAGCTTGTAATTCTTAGTTGAATACCTTTTTCAGATTCTTAGAGCAAGTACTGGGCGAATAGATTGTGCGAAATCTGGGGAAGTCTCCAGAATTTGTAAGAAAGAGCTTGCTAATATTTTCAAAAGGGTACGTTGATTATTATTTTCGATTTAATATTAATTTGTAGTTCCATCCATTTGTTGACAGGTTTTTTCTCTAGATAGGAACGCAATGTACAGAGAGCGACATTGTGGATAAACTTCGCCTATGTTAGACTCTGGTTTTTCGTCAGCTGACGATAATTTTCAGACCACTAGAATTTTGAGGAATTGGTCTTCCTAGGTTTATAAAAAATGAGGCTGGAAACAAAAGTTAAATATTCGAAAGTTCAAACGGTAACAGGGTAACCAAAAATACTAACGATAAATTGAAGACGCCACTGTATCTTGTTCTACGAAATTCTGACTGTTCAGTCGCCTCGATGTTCAAATTAAGAGCCTTGGCGTAGAAAAAAAAGTGAAGGACTACGTTTTGTCGAGTGTAGGAAGTCAGGATTCTACCATTGTAAGATAGAAGAACATGCACCTTGTAAGAAGAGAGCTGTAGATCCTATTGGTTTCTTTCATTTGATAAAGTTCAACACAAGCTGATATGTGTTGATTTAAGCTGCAAACGGCGATTATTTTCATACCGAATGCGTTAAGTGCTCCGGAATGTAAAATCCGATTTCAGTCTGTGTTTTCAAGGTGGTATTTTTCAGCTCCGAATAAACTTTATTAGTCTAAACAGTAACCGTTAGAATGTATACACTTTTGCCAACAGGGAACAATTTCATTTCTACCTGTTGTACGAAATTCAAGATTTCTGGAGGCGGTGAAATCGGTGAAAATGGTTTAGGCCTCCTTTTGGTTTCTGAAGCATTCTTCGCGTAGAAAGTTGTCGAGATATTGCAAAAATTGATAGGCAGTAGATGAGAGGTATGGCGAATGCGGTGGATGATACATAGTTTCGTAGTCCCCAGCTCGTTCAACGTCTATAGCGTCGGTTCTACGTGTGCTCGCGCCGTGGAGAAGCATTGCTCCCTTTCTGTTGACCAACGTGGGACGCACCCTTTGATGTTTTCATCATATTGATTTCCTGGATCTGCTTCCCCATCGTAGTCGACTCGATCAGAATAAAGTGAATGCATTCTATATTCAATTAAAAGAAGTAGTTCTTGGTGAATAGTCTTACAATTTTTTTTCTGAGATTTCAACATCCAGCATCGGCCAGGAAAAGTGCACACAGAGGCAGAGATGTTATAATTTTTTACATTTTTCGTGACCAATAATCACATATACAGTGCGGATCCCAGCATTTCTTGCATTCAGTTTGTTTCTTCGCATTCAATATCCACAATGCTCTTTGAACATTTCGCGCGTTGTTCCAGCTGCTGCTTGAATATTTCATTTTCTTTATGAATGTCGTAGAATGCTGGTCAAGTCGATTCTCTTTGCAATTTTGGAGATAGCTGAGCTAAGGCTTTCCCAGGTGGATTTGAGGACTCCTTTGGAGTGGGGACCGAACTAGTACCTTTGTCTCTTGGTCGACGGCATCACTAGTCACTGTGCTACCCCAGCCCCGAATTTCGGATTACAAGAACGAAATAAAAATAGGAAACTCTTATCAGGTACTTGTCTGTGGTGGACCTGTGGAAATTCATTTTTGGAGTAGAAAAGTTTTTACTAAACGCTCATTATTGTGTAAGAGCATGACTGATGCGGCGATCTACCACATTTTCATGAACAAAAAATATTTGCTCGATAGCATTTAATGCCATCATTTTGCTATGGATCCGATAACCTTCTCCGCGAGAGCGTTTCACCACTTTACAGGCTGGAAAAGAAACTGTTTTAATCCTTCAATCACGTAAAGCAGTTTTGAAAAGAAAATACGTTTCGCTGAAATCGTTTCATACATCACTGCCAAATTGAACAAAATCCGAACGAGGTCTGCGATCTGATTTCCGAGGAAGTTGGAGTGTAGGTTATGCCGTAAAAACTCCTTTTCGTCAATCAAAGAGTTGAGATCGCATCTCTACAAAGTCCAAGCGGTTGCTCTAGAAAGAATAAATGCTTAAGCTATATGTGTCTACAACGTATCCCAACATGGTTGGTAAATATGGGCTGCAAGAAGTTTTTGGAAGACATGCAACTTTAGAGATAGTAGTATGGAAATGATAACAAATAAGTCCCATCCTGATGTTTTCCATTCCACATTCGTCGTTTCCTGCCGAAGAGCCCTGTATGGAAAACCACCCTCAATTCTCTGTTAGGTGCTAGTTGCGATCAAGACTGAAGAAACGCATAATAACTGAAAAGATAGCATAATAGCCTTTTTTTTCCTGTTAAGTCAAAAACTACCCACAGTTTCCGCAACAAATGGTAATATATATTAAAGCCGAAGGTATTCCAAAGAAGCGAAACACATCGCAGATTACCCTGCTAAAGAAGATTGACAGAAGAGATCGTTTTAAATACCATTCGGCTTACTTGTTAGGGTTTTCCTATAAGATATTCCTAAGAGTTGTCGTCTTCTTGTACTTGTCAGAAATCTTAGTAAGGCTTAACAAGTTGAGAAAGGTTGTACGGATCATAGATGAACCGTAGCCAACGTGACAGAGGTCTGTTGGAAGTACAATCCATTTCTTCTCCTAATCTTCATTGATTACTAAGAAGTATTCAGTAGTTTCGTTCCAGTAGAAACGTATTCTTCACCGCTTGTCTATCCGCACTTCTCCTAATTTTCACTGACTACGAAAAAGAATTTCATAGCATGGGAACGAATTCTGTCACACTACTTTACTAAGGAATACTTTTTTTTTGATCCGTCTCCTTTCTACTGTGTGGATCTCAGCACTTTCCAAATTAATTTGTTTCCTCGCATCCACTGTCCACGAAGATCTTACAAGTTTAAGTGTGGCTTCGGTTTCTGCTTGAATATTTTCATTTCTTCTTGAATGTCGTAGAATGCTGCTCGAGGAATTCTCCCTGGGCTGCTGAGATAACCTGGCTGGAACGTTCCCAATTGGATTGCAGAGGGTGATTTTTTTTCCCAGTTAAGTCCGATACCAATTTCAGGACCCCGGAGGGATGAGAAGCTTGGTTGACCTGGAGCGGAATCGAACTAGCGCCATGCTCGTGATGACGGGCATCGCTACCTCTGCACTATCCACCTCCTACCAAGGAATACTTGTCCCACGTAGTGAATCCTGTTTAAAGCAACCTCAATTGCATCACGAAATTGCTTGTCTTTCATGGCATCGTTTGTTGTTCCCGTACGAAAAGGTCCTAGACGTAGAAATTGGTGATTTCAACTCGCTGAAACTGTATTATTGGGACGAATTTTTCGACACTTATCATTGAAATGGATGCAGTGCTCATGTTGACAAAAAGAGATTATGCATAAAGCAGAAGAAAGATTTCGTGATACTATGAAAACTAATGAAATGAATGGTCCTCTGAATACAGAGACCACATAAACATGCATCCTGTGAACCTCAGATAGACGATCGGCTAAGTGACGGGCGCAAAACTGGGCTCAGTTTTTCGATTCAATAGTTAAATACTTCTTCGATTTGTTATGCAAATGAGGTTGATAGTGAGGTGATACAAATGGCCACCCATCGAGAGTTTTATGCAGAAGCAATTGAATGATGTCTTATAAAGTGCCATTGGATACGCAAAATAGAATTTTATTACACAGTTAAGCACACATTCGAAAACAACTGTTTTTGAAGTACTAGGAAATATGCCTTGGAAGCGCAACATCACGATCTGTCGTGTAATGACGAGGGCCGACGACAAGTAGACGAAAAGAACAATAGACTGAATTCCAAAAGAATTCGTACTTCAGGTTGACAACGTTTACAAAGGCAGATGTGTCGGGTACTAACACCAGTCGCTTATATCTGCAACTTTAACTAGTAAAGGGACGGTGTGCTTTCTAAACAACCATGTGATGCACGGAGTGGCCGGCGTGAGCTATATAAGGACTGTTTTGATGCGCAGAACCCTTTTCCTGTACTTCTAGTAATCATTCGGTAGCTTATTCAACACGGAATTTGTGGCGAATATCAGCCGGGATAAGCTGAATTACCTTTAACAATGTGCAGCAAAAGACTTTCCTCGAACGAGTTTATTGACCGGTAATTGACTGGAAATTGACCTTCATTAACGGCTATGGTGATTAGTCGTTACTGTATGGAATATGAAAGTATAAAAAATATTGCCAAAAGAGACACAGCATACCTTGTAAAAGACTTCCAAATGCCGACAGCAATATACCTGCACGATAGACCACCATGTACTATGTAGTAAATAATAGCATAACTATAGAGCGATGAATCAAAGTCTCTTCTACAACCCTATCATGAGCACGACCTCGCAAATCCAAATCTTTTAGTTGTGAAAGAACCATAATCGATTTTTATAAAATCAACACGTCCTTAACGCCCATGTTGTACCACGCGGCAGGGGTGCTAAAATCCGCGTGGGCTTTGTAGTGAATCCACTCACGGACCCGGGTGCCATGCGCAATCAGGGCGCGCGATGAAATCAACATGTGCAGTCCGTGAGCCCACGCAGTAGACACGACGCTTTGGTTTCTTGAGATTATCGTTCTGTTGTTCGGTTCTCTCACTTTTTTCGTGTTTCTCCAATTCCTTCATATCCGCTGTGTTCTTCTATATATGTTCCCAGGATCTTGAACACCCTGTTATCTATGATGAAAAGAGAATCTCCGTATCTCTTTCGTGTTCTTTATATTGGCTGATTCCATTCCGCCATGTGAAATGCTTTCTTTCAAGCATAGCTAAGAATACCTATCCATGGACCAGCCCCAACTTGAAATCTGTGTTCGACGAGCCATCGATTGGCTACAGTGGGTCGTGAAACTGTTATGTGATCCAAAAGAAATTTATCTCCATAGAACCCTGTGCACTAAATATTAGTTACAGCACAAAAAGATCAACCGTTTCGCTGTC